CTCCTCCCCCTCTGCCTCCTCCTCCTCCTCCTCCTCATCCTCCATTTTCCATCCTATTCCATCCTCCATCCTCCATCCTCCTCCGCCTCCGCCTTCTCCTCCTCTTCCAAGGCCGCGAGACTTGCAGGCCAATTTCCCGAAGCGGGGCCCGCTGTGGCTCCCGCACTGCGGGCTCCCCTTGCTCGCGACTGGTCTCCCAGATGAACTTATCTCATGCCCGTCGACACGCTACGTGGTTTCACCGTTTTCTTCGTCATCTGCCCCACCATCGAGGGAAGGGTCACAAAGATCTTCTTATCCTCTTCCTCCTCCTCCTCCTCCTCCTCCCCATCTGCCTCCTCCTCCTCCCCCTCTGCCTCCTCCTCCTCTTCCTCCTCCTCTCCTCCACTCCCTCCTTCCTCCTCCTCCTCCTCCTCCTCCTCCTTCGCCGTCCCCCTCCTCCTCCTCCTCCTCCTCCTCCTCCTCCTCCTCCTCCTCCGCCTCCTCCTCCGCCTCCTCCTCCTCCTCCTCCTCCTCCTCCGCCTCCTCCTCCTCCGCCTCCTCCTCCTCCTCCTCCTCCTCCTCCTCCGCCTCCTCCTCCTCCGCCTCCTCCTCCTCCTCCTCCTCCTCCGCCTCCTCCTCCCCCGCGGTGCGTGTAGATATTCAGTTCCTCACTGCGCTGTACGCGTTGTCCCCTTGAATTGGGTCACTGTCCGCGGCTGGTGGCGCCCTCGAGCGTTGCCTCGCTCTCTCCTTTCCACAGGTCGGTGCCCTTTTGGCAGCTTCCTCGCTCGTCCCCTCTCGGCTGCCCCCCGAGGGGCCCCTGCCAGGTGGCGACATCCGAACCCTACCCCCACCAACCGTCGATTATCCTGAATCGATGGGGGGCGGGGGGTAGGGCTCGGATCTTGCCACGTGTTCGACCAAGTCCGAACCCTGCCCCCCGCCGCCCATCGCGTTACTGAAGGGGCCCAGGGACACACACAAATAGACAAACACAAACAGAAGGATTCCCCATATTCTTTCCCCTATGTTCTGGGGTTCCGTCTCCCCCCCCCACTTCCCAGGTTTTCGCACATCTTCTGGGGAATCGACGCTGAATTGTGTCTGTGTGTTTGTTTCCCTCCTCCTCCTCCTCCTCCTCCTCCTCCTCCTCCTTCTCCTCCTCCCCCCCCTCCTCCTCCTCCTCCTCCTCCTCCTCCTCCTCCGCCGTCCCCTCCTCCTCCTCCTCCGCCGTCCATCGCCGATCGGCGAGGGCAGGGCTCGGACCTCGCCGCCGACCCGAGCTCCTCGCTGGGCCCCCGGCGCTGCTCCAGCGGAGTCCGCCGCGTCGCCATGCGCGTGGCCGCGACGACAAAGCGCGCGCGCGCGTGTGCGCGTGTGCGTGTGCGTGCGCGTGCGCGTGCGCGTGTGCGTGTGCGTGTGCGTGTGTGTGTGTACTTGTGTGCTTGTGTGTGCTTGTATGTGTGTGTGTACTTGTGTGCTTGTGTGTGCTTGTATGTGTGTGTGTGTGTGTGTGCGTGCGTGTGCGAGTGTGTGTGTGTGTGTATGTGTGTGTGCGTGTGCGCGTGCGCGTGTGCGTGTGCGTGTGCGTGTGTGTGTGTGTGTACTTGTGTGCTTGTGTGCTTGTGTGTGTGTGTGCGTGCGTGTGCGAGTGTGTGTGTGTGTGCCGTTTTGCCGATCCGATCCACTAGTACATGCCAGGTACCAACTGTACTCAGAAGCCCCGGTCTAATCGGAGCTCAGGGGTTCCAATGGCGAATCGCGCACGGAAATAAGAAAGAACTCTGCGCGCCGCGAAGGGGTTTTAACGGGTCGCCGCGAAGAGAGACCCCCCGCGGAAGGAAGAAAAGAAAGCCTGCCGGGGGGGCTGGGGGGTCCAGACATGAGTCAGGGTAATGATCTAATGGCCACCTGGCCGCCTGCTGCTGCACAACAAACCTCACTACCGGAGCATGGTTCGATCGAGCATCAGGCGAAGAACGAGGCTACGCGTTTCGCTCACATGGCTCGTCGGGCCAAGATGCCTACGGTTCGACGTCGAACGATGCTGTCGATGGGACCTGAGGAGGCGTGGAAGGCTGCACTGCGTAATCGTTGCTCCGGCCTCGTCTGACAGCCGCGGCCGCCGCCATCGCTGCGAAGAAAAGCCGTTCGCCGCACCACCCCTCCCCGGCAAGACAGGGAGGCGGGGGCCTTCTCTTGCCCCGGCACACCGAGATGTTCGCGTCGCCCTTGATGTCGTCGACGCTGGAGCAGGAGATGGAGCCCCCTCCTAACGGGGCGGGGGGAGGGGAGTTCGGTGGCAACGCATGGGAGCCTCTCATACCATCTTGCTCACTCGTGCGAATCGATGCAAGTCGACGCTAACCGACGCTAAATCGGCGCTATCTCATCGACTCCCAGACGCCAATCGACGCTGGAGACTGACTTAAGAGGGTATACCAGGCTCCCATGACTTGCTACCGAAGGGGAGGAGAGCGGAGAGAAGACCAGGGAGGGAGGAGAGGGGAGGGGAGCGACGGTGGGGGGAGAAAGGCGGAGGAAGAGGCAGTGAAGAAGGGAGGGGAGGGGAAGGCGCAATGACGAGTGGGAGAGCCGGGCGGGAGCGGGGGGGGGGGAGGAAGAGGGAGGAGGAAGAAGTGGCAAAGAAGAGGCAAAGAAGAGGAGAAGCACGGAGGAAGAAGAGGAGGCCCGGCAAAGAAGAAGGAGAGGAAGGCGCAAGGAGGAGGGGGAGAGGCGGACGGGAGCGCGGAGGGGAGGAAGAGGGAGGAGTTGCTCCCTCTCCCTGCCTCCTTGTCTTCCCTCCTCCCTCCTCTGTCGCCCTTGTGACCTCCTGCGCCCGGCCGTCCCTCCTCTTCTTGCTGCCTCCTCCCCTCGCTCCCCTCCCCCTCCTGCTCCCTTTCTGTGGGAGGGCGACGAAGACGGGGGAGGAGGGGTGAGCAGGACGGGGGGGAGGGAGGAGGAGACGAGTCGGGAGGAGGAGGAGGAGGAGGAGGAGGAGGAGGAGGAGGAGGAGAAAGAGGGGGTGGTGAGGGATGTGGGGAGGAGGGAGGTGAGGAAGAGGGTGATCATGGCCGGTCAAGGGCAGGGAGAGGAGGAGGGAGGGAGGGACGTGAGGTGGCGGATGAGGAGGAAGGATGATGGCTGGAGCATGAGGCAAGCAGCTCCAGCACCCGCCGGGATCTCGAATGCGACGCCCGCCAGCTTGGACTTCAGCTGATCCTGGGCGAGGGGGAGTAGCGGTGTCGACCCGCGGAGACGCGACAGGTGCTACCCTGATACTGCCGAGATGCAGGCCCGGCGGTGGTCTGCCCCCCGCCCCCATCTCCTGCTCCTCCTCCTCCTCCTCCTACCACCTCCTCCACCTCCTGCTCCTCCCTCCTCTTCCTCTCCTGCTCCGCTCCTCTCCACTCCTCCTCCTACCTCCCCTCCTCCTGCACCTTCTTCCTCCTCCACCTCCCCTCCCCTCACCTCCTCCTCCACCACCTCCTCCTCCTCCACCCCCCTGCCACCTGTGCCTCCTCCTCCTCCTCCTTCCTCCTCCTCCTCCTCTTTCCTCTCCTCCAGTCTCTTCCTCTCCTCCCTCACCTCCTCTCCTACCCTCCCTCCTCCTCCTCACACCTCCTCCTCCTCCTCCCTCACCTCTCCCACCCCCCTCCTCCTCCTCCTCATCCTCCTCCTCCTCCACCTCCTCTCTCCTCCTCCTCCTCACCTCCTCCTCTCCTCCTCACTGCTCCTGCTCCTGCTCCTCTCCTCCTCCTCCAGCTCCTCCTCCTCCTCCTGTTTCCTCCTCCTCCTCCTCCTCCTCCTCCTCCTTCTCCTGCCTCTCCTCCCTCTCTTCCCTCTCCTCCCTCTCCTCCCTCTCCTCCTCCCTCTCCTCCCTCTCCTCCCTCTCCTCCTTCTGCTCCTCCTCCTGCTCCTCCTCCTCCTGCTCCTCCCCCATTCCTCTCCCTTATGAATAACTCCTCCCTGTCGCACCCCGAGGCTGGTCGGGATGGCGGGTCGGGCGTTTCGCCTGAGACTTCCTTACCGCTTATGAACCTGAAGCTTGAACTGGCAACATTTTCACAGATGGAGGGCGAGTTGCTTCCAAAATGTCGCTCTCGCCTTAGCGCCGCGTGCATTCGCCTCAAGCATTTGCGAGAGTCTCACGGGTTGAGGGCGGGCGGATTTCAAAATGTGGCTCTCGCCCTAGCGCCGCGCACTTGGTTTGTTGTAGGAAAATCCAAGTAGTTTCGCGGATTATCATGGTTAACCTTCCAGAAATGTTTCCGCGCGATTCAGGGTTCCCCAGGCCCAGGAGTGGTGTTCTGGCACGATTCAGGATCGTCAAGACGCAACATTCGGGTTGACTCGTAGCGTTGAAGTCCTGAGAATGGTGTGTTGACATGATTCAGGATTTTCACACGGTTGACTCCAAAAGGGGCACGTCCCTCAGTGGAAGTGAATCCTTGTAATTACGGGCCTATGTAGAGGGAGCTTGGAGGGAGGGTGCATCCCAACATCGTTGATGAATCTTGTGTTTACACTGGTCTTCCTCCTCCTCCTCCTCCTCCTCCTCTTCCTCCTCCTCACCCTCCTCCCTCTCCTCCCTCTCGCCGAGTCTGGAGTCAAAACTGTGTACAATTTTGTCGCCAGGGGCGGAAACGCGAACTGTTTTTTCCGCCCCCGCCCCGCACTCATGCAAGGAACAGGCCCGTCCATCAGAGGGCCCAACAGGGCCCCTGGGTCAGCACGCATGCCGTGTGGTGCGTGAGGCACAGCATGCCGGGGCGCAAAGCCACCCAATTCGTCCGTCACGGAGTCGGCTCGCCGACGTAGGACTGACTGACAGAGAAGCGAGCTCAGAGCGTGGAGCGATGAGAGCGACTGGGAGGCCGGTGCGTCATTCGCCAATCTCCCCCGGGACTTGGTTCCCAGGTGGAGCGCCCCCACCCCTTGGGTTCCGCTTTCCGTTGCGAGCGCTCACCACTTTGGCTCAAGATCCGAGGAAAAACATCCTTTCCTCCTCCGCCCCAATGAATGAAGCTCCGCCTCCACCACAGCGTCGGCCTCGGAACCACCGTAACGGGAGAAGCACCGCCTCTCGGGATAGATTCTAGGATGCGCGTCTGATCTCGATCCAGCCTCTCGAGGGAGAAGGACATGGAGTCTGTGGCCCCTTGTGAAGATGGGGAAGATGAGGCTTGTCCGTGGCTCAACACTTGCATCGCATGTACCTTGCGAGTGTAGTCTTAAGTCGGGCGTGTCCCCCTACAGGCGGATTTGGGGCGACCAAACACATACTCAAAACATACCCCCCCAAATACCCCAAAATAGTCCAAATATCGTCCCCTTACTATTTTGTTTTACTATTTCTGAATATTCCCTCTGTAGAGGGACACGCCCGACTGAAGGCTTGTCAGAGGCTCAACACTTGCATCGCATGTACCTTGCGAGGGCAGTCGGAATGGGAGGGGAGACGGGGGTGGGGCATCGGCCACAGTTTAATGTCTTCGACGCAGGGGCAAGTCAGGCTGCGGGTACCCCGACCCTCCTCCAGATTGAACAGCTCTCTCCATACGCTCCGAGGGGGGAGAAAAGCAGTGCTCAGGCCCCACTTCAGGACCGCCAGCAGGGCAGGCGTGAGGACTGCGGCGACACTAACCAGGCGCATCTCCTGGATCAGGGTGGCGCGTCCCAGGCCCGGCAGTTTGCCTGGTGTCCGACTGCTGCTTCTCGGCAGTCCCTGGAGACGCCCAAGCCCAGCGGCAAAACCAGACCACTCCCGCCTGACCTCGTGGCGCCAGCTCCCAGGAGGCCGAGCGCATCTCCTGGACCCACTTCGTCATGCTCTTCTCCTCGTACGTCCCGGCCTGCCGCGGGGGAGCGCGGCGTGCAGCGCCCGGCGGCGCCGTGTTGCGCCGCGGTGCCGGGCCCCGTGCTCCCCTGGGGTCACACTTAAGTCGGGCGTGTCCCCCTACAGGGGTAGTTTCGACGAAAAATAACAAATACCCCCAAAATAGCCCGAGAAAATGTCAAGAAGTACTCAAAAAAATAGTCCCTGGGCTATGTTTGGACGATTCTCTGATTCTTTTTGGGGGGTACGTCTTATTTTTCGTCGAAGATCCCCCCTGTAATTAGGGGGACAGGCCCGACTTGGGGTCCCACTCAACTTCGCGCCCCGCGCCCCGCGCTGCCGCGCGACGCGAGGCTCTCTTCGCCCCCCGTCTGCTCGCCGCGGGCAGGAGGGCGGCTCTCCGGCCCAGGCCGATGTCACAGCGCCCCACGGGGGGTGGCCTCCGGCACCGCGTCGCGCGCGGCTTCCAGGCCAGGAGTGCACCCCTCGGTCCGAAGGAGTGGATCGACGCAGGAGGCAGGAAGGGCGGTGTAGAAGCAGATTGGGCTTCCGCCCGCCCTCTGAGGAGGAGGAGGGAAGAAGGACAAGCACTCGATGATTGAAGCAGGAAGACGCCTAAAGTACATTGCGGCTTGGTCAACGCTTTCTTCTTGTTTCGACATTGGGCGGAAGGGGGGGAGGGAGGGGAGGGGTCTGGCTCCGGACCTCTGCTTAATGCGACTGTTTGCAACAGTGGGTCCTAAGGGGGGGAGACTCCACCTGCTTGAAGCAGGCGCCCAAAACAGCCAAGACCTACTCCATGAGTGGGGGGGAAGGGGGGGTGCGAGGGCCCGCGCCGATCGGCAAAACAGCGAATGAGAAAACGACGACTTGGGCATCCCAGAACCACTGCTTTCAACGACCAGCATGGCACCGTGCCCGACTGGTCTGCTCCTGCCCTCCCTGCTCCTGCCGCTGCTGCCCAGGGAGGCTGCGGCCCAAAGCCTGCAGCAGCGCGGGGCTTGCCGAGCACGGCTCCGAGGGGCGGGTGGCTTCTCGCGAGCGGCGAGCATACAGTCGGCCCGTATCACAAGGATGCGCGATGAGGACGCAAGGGCCTTGGACGCCCCTGTCGAAGCTTCTCGAGCGGGGCGCGACCAACGGGAGTGGCGAAGGATGGACCGAGGAGGCAAGGATGCAGGGTACCCCTGGGAAGTTGTCCCATTCTTACTATGCGGGCTTACTGTATCCGTATCCGCGCCCTCGCGGTCTCGATTCTGGGGCGCGATCCAGCGGATACGCGATCGGCATCCCGAAAAAGCGCACCGTATTCGCAGGATCGCGACCCAGCGGCCTGGCCTGCGAGGCCGCGGATACGGATGTGTTTCGCCCACGAATCTAATATCGCCTGTAAGCTGCTTGGGGTCTCTCTAACGTTTGACATGATCGCATGATCCGCCGCTCCAGAAGTAACTCCTCAACGCGGAACCCTGCGGAGGGGAGACGAGGACGAGGAGAAAGGAGAGGGACGGGAAGGGGAGCGAGGGGAGGCAGGAGCGAGAGAGCGAGAGAGAGAGCGAGGGAGCAAGAGATGGATAAAGAGAGAGAGAGAGAGAGAGAAAGAAAGAGAGACATCGAGACGGAGGGAGCAGGCGGGAAACCAGCAGGAAACGAGGAGCACGAGGCCCGAGAGAGCACGGGGCCCCCGCTCGGCCCGCGCGGGGCGGCGCCGAGAGCCCCTGCCCGCTCAGCCCAGGGCGAAGTACGCGGCCAGCGCGCGCGTGAGCCCCGGCCGCTCCGGCGCCTCGGCGGCGCCGGCGCCGCCCGGCTCGGCCGCGGCCCCGGCACGCTCCAGCGCTTCCCGCGCCCCCGCGGGCGCCAGCGAGGCCTGGGGCTCGCCATCGCTTGGACGTCCATTCCCTGTGTCTTTTTCGGTCTCGTGCGTGGCTTTTTCGCCAAGTGGTCGAGGATGCTCCTCGATGGTCCTCGCCGAAGAAAAAATGCACACGTCCAAGCGATGCCGAGGGGGTCGGGTCGGGCGTGTCCCCCTGCAGGCGGGTTTTCGACAGGAAATCAAGAATGGTCAAAGAGTGCCCCAGAAGGGTCAAGAAATAGTGGAAAAGTGGTCCCCAATGTATTTTTTTGGATTAGTTGGGGATGTTCCTCCTGTAGAGGGACAGGCCCGACTTAAGCCTGGGGGGGGTGGCAGAGGGTACCACCAAGACGAGGTGTGTTTTTCGGGCGGGTGGCAACGGGGGGGTGACCCAACTGGGGGGTGAAGAGAAGGCCCCTACAGAAGCCGCTCAGGGCCCCTTTTGGAGCCAGGGGCCCTAAAGGGCCCCTTCAGGGGAATTTTCTTCACCCCCATTTGGGTCACCCCCCATTGCCACCAGGGGTGTGTGCTTTGGCCACAGAGGGTACCAACACCACAAGGGAGCCATAAGGCACTGAGACGAAGCCAGGACCGAGACACGATTGGGCGGGACAAGCCGAGACCTGGCCGTCCTGGAGGATGTGTCGGGCGCCGCGGCCAAAGGGCTCCGGAATGCTCTGAGAGCATTCCGGAACCCTCTGCAACGATTTGTCCTGAGTCTGGGCCCGCCCGATAATGCCTGGCACCGATACTGCTACTCCCGTGGGCCTCTCCCGTGGTGAGTTCTGACCAGAATTTCGAGGCGAAGCCAGCCGTGGCGACAAGGGCCGCCCAGGAGGCCCCACACTCCGAAAACGAGGAACGAGTAGCGTATGCATCGGTACGGCAAGTTCGTGTCGTCACGACACTGGCGCTTGGTTCTGTCACCGCGTTGTTTGTTCAAACTTGCACGATCGGCGGATTTCCGATCGCCAGATCGTTTACTATTGGCTGACTGCCTGGGACGACAGGAGCAGGAGCAAAATTGCCGGCAGTAGGGCCGGCTGACTCGTCCATCTGCGTCTCTGCCTCAGCACGACGTTTGCTCTCTGGACTGAGCGCCTGTTTGACCTCGTTGATCCTTACCGTCAGACGTCGTGCCTGCTCACCCCGATCTGGGCCATCGGAGGCGTTCCACCTTGAACGCTCGCAGCGGGGTCGCAGCCGCGCCGACAGGGACACGAACCTGCCGCACCTCGGCGGCGAGCCCCGGGGGGGAAGCGACAGGGGGCGGACCTCCTCAGAAGGCTTTTGGGGGCTCGGGCCCCTCGAGAAGTGCTCCCAAACCTGGCCCGAAATCTCATGAAGAAACCCCTCAGACGGCCCGGGGGCTTCTGAGAAGCCGCGTCGCTTTCTGAACAGGCCTGCCCCCTCACTTCCCTCCTGGGCTCGCGGCCGAAAACCTTTGATTTCTCCGCCTCCGGCTCCTCTTCCGCCTCCTCCTCCCCCTCCTCCTCTTCCTTCTGCTCCTTCTTGACGTTGGTCATATTGCGAGGCTTGCAGCGTTCCCCTCCTCATCATCCTCGCCCTCCTCCTCGTCCGTCTTTGTCCTCCTCCTCCTCCTCCTCCTCCTCCTCTTGAGCAGGGACCGTCCCGGCATTTCTATAGGCCGACCACGAGATGTTCTTAGAACCCAGAAATGTTCTAAGAACAAAAACAATGTTGTTAGAACATAAACCCGACGTGTTCAAACAAGACAGTCCCAGCCAGAAAGGTTCTAGAACATTTCGTGCAGACCACGAAAGGTTCCTAGAACACTGTTTGGTAGGCCTCTAGGCCCTAGGCACGCCAGAACGCTTCGCCACTGCTTCCTCCTCCTCCTCCTCCTCCTCCTCCTCCTCCTCCGCGTCTCCCTCCTCCTCCTCCTCCTCCTCCTCCTCCGCGTCTCCCTCCTCCTCCTCCTCCTCCTCCTCCTTCTCCTCCTCCTCCTCCTCCTCCTCCCTCTGAAGACCAGCGCCGCCAGGGCGCCCGGCGCGCACGCGGGCAGCGAAGCCGCGCGCGCCGCGCCCTGCGCCGCCGCGCGCAGGTCGCGGCCGGCGCCGCCCACCACGGCCAGGCCCAGCAGCCAGAAGTGCAGCCAGTGCCCCGCCGCCAGGCCGGCGGCCGCGCAGCGCCCCAGCAACGAGAGCACCTCGCGGCCGCGCGCCACGGGTGGCCCCAGGCAGGAGGGACCTCTGGTGCGCGGCGTTCGCAGGGGAAGGAACACCGGCACGTACCCATAAACGTTGGGAGGTGCGCGCGGATTGCTTGGATCCGCGCTGGTCACCCTGTCTGACGCGCGGAGCGCGCCAGGGGCGGCGCGGGGGGCGCCGCTGGGGGGGGGGGGGGGGCCAGCGCCGATCCAAGAAATCCGCGCGGAGCGCCAACAGCTTATGTTCATGGCGTTCTTCTTCTTCTTCTTCGAGTTCGGGGGGGCGCGGGGGGACCAGACCCAGGCGCGCAGGGCGCGGCTATCGCATCGCGTTCCGCCGTCCGGGGGCCCCAGGCTCGGAAGCCGGGCAAGGGCTGCTAAATCCGTGGCTGCTAAAGTCGACCTCCGGAAAAGTGTCTTCGTCCTTCCAGGAAGAAACCCGTGGACTGTTTCGCGTGCCGCGCCTCATTCCGGGAAGTTGTTCCTTCCTTCCAGGAGAGCCGTTTTAGCAGCCACGGCGTCAGCAGCCCTCGCCCAGCTTCCGACAGGTGTGCCCGCACCAAAGGTCACTCCGGCGAAAGGTCACCCTTGCACGTGCAGCCGAGCCTCGCGCACGGGGAAGTCGGAGGGCCCGGCGGCAGCGGCGGGGGCCAGGCAACCCGCGGTCGGGGGTGGCTAAATGGGACCTCCTCCTCCTCCTCCTCCGCGTCTCCCTCCTCCTCCTCCTCCTCCTCCTCCTCCTCCTCCTCCTCCAGAATTGCATACGGGTGCTCAGACCCAGCGGTCCTGGAGGATGCGTCGGGCGCCGCGGCCGCTCCGGAGCGCTCCGGGACGCTCTGAGAGCGCTCTGAAACCCTCGGCGGCGCTCTATCCTGGGCCTGGACCCGCCCGGTCATGCCCGATTTGGGCGCCCGAGTTATCCGGGGTAACTCGGGTCCGGGGTAACTCGGGTTTGGATTCCCGAAAAAGGAACCCGAGTTAGCCCTGACCCGAGTTATCCCTGATGATTCGGGGCTCTGGACGCCCGAAATATCCGGGGTAACTCGGGTCCGGGGTAACTCGGGTTTGGATTCCCGAAAAACGAACCCGAGTTATCCCTGACCCGAGTTACCCCTGATGATTCGGGGCTCTGACCGATACCGTCGGGGCGTTGACCTAAGGAACCCTAAATAAGGAACGAGGCCCCTTCTTCCCATAAGTTGAACTTCGATTCCCCATCGAAGCCCTAAGCAAAACCCAAGGCGAACTGCAAAACAACTAAGGAACACCGCGCCCCTCGCCAACGAGAAGGGTTCCTTCCTCAGCGCCCCGACTGTACCATGCTGATACTCCCTGGACCTCTCCCAGGGTGGATTCTGAACTGGATGTCGAGGCGAATCAAGCCGTTGCGACGAGGGCCTCCCCGGAGGCCCAAAAGGCGAAAACTAGTGGAAGTGCAGCGGCACCAGTGCCTTGTCTTCCTCCAGGGGCTCCCCAACCCCGCCGCCTCTGCCGAGGAGGGCTCCGCTGCCGCCTTTGCGCCGCCAGAACATGTCCGTATCCACTGCCGCGGAGACCCAAGGGACTTGAGAAGCGATGGATGTGGATACCCGCCCGCCCACGCGGGCAGGCAAATGTCATCCGACTTCCACATCCAGCGCTCCTCGAGAACCCGGGGCACGATTTCGAAGCGGTGGAGATGGAGCCCGCTTTTTTTCCATCACTTGCGATCATGCCCGTGGCTGGCCCCTCCCCCCCATCGCCCCCCCCTGGTCACGTCACGCTTCGAGCCGGCGCCACGTGGGAATGAGCGCATTTCCAATCCCCGCCGGCGCGAACCGTGACGTGACTGGTCCCCTCCCCCCCTCCCCCCCCTGGTCAAGCCCGCTGTCGACAAAGGGCACAATAAAAGGCATCATTGAAGGGGCTCAAGGACACATAAATAAATACACACCAAATAAACATATTCTCCATATTTTCCTATATTTTCTGGGTTTTTGTCTTCCCCCCCACTTCCCATATTTTCTCATACTTTCTGGGGAATCGACGATTAATTGTGTCTGTGTGTTTCTTTCCTCTTGAATCATGGTGTGCACCGGATCGGGCTGCATCCGCCCGGAACCGAACTCGAAGCGGATCGGCAGCGCAAGAGTGCACAGCGACGCCATGCACGCGTCGGGCGGCATCGGATCGCCGGAGTATCGGCATCGACTCGGAGCGGGCTGGCCAAGATCGGCATCGAATCGGATCGAAATGGATCGTGGTGGATATGGCAGGCTCGTGTCGTGCCGACTTCGGCGTTGGTTTCCGACACCACGGGCAGCATTCGAACGAGATCGGCCGTTTCCGAAACGCCAGATCGCTCAACGTCGACCGATGCAAGCCACCGGCGGCGTTCCACGTTGAACGCTGGCGGAAGGGTCGTCGCGTCGTCGCTGGTCGACAAGACGCGAACCTACCGTACGCAGAGGGGGAACAACGGCGCAAACCCCAACCTTCGACGGTCCACGCGGCTCTCTTGGATCCGCGCCGGAGCCCCTCCCTGGCGCGCGGAGTGCGCCCACGGCCCAGGGGGGGCTGCAGCGCCGATCCGAGACATCCGCGCGGAGCGTCGAAGAGTCAAGCTCTTATGTAACCTCTCGGGTTCGCAACCTACCGCACGGGGGATGCAGATGTCGGAAACAATGAAGCAGCACTCATGCAGGACAGATGATTTGAACCTCCCCCCCTCCCCCCGAATGCAATGCTGGTTTCGGATCTCCCGATTTGGGGCCTCCGAGCGGTCTTGCGAAAAACCGTCAACTTTGAATTGCGGGGGAGGGGGGGGGGAAGGTTGCTGAATTGTTTTCCTCAACCGCATCTGTGGGGCGCTGCCGAGCCCCGGGGCACGCGACGCGAGCCTGCCGCCGGCAGGGAGAGCCGGCCCCCGCGCGTTCGCCCCCTGTCCGCGTGCAAGACCACGGCCCCCCCTTCGTCCGCGAGACCGGCCTCGTGGCGCGAGCGTTCGCGGCATGCGTGCTCTCGAGCCCAGCAGGGCTTCGTGTACGTGTACGTTCGGTGACAGCTCATGGAATGGGCCCCAGGACACACAAATAAATACACGCAAAGAAACAGAATCGAGGATCAATTGTGCCTGTGTGTTTCTTGTCCTCCTGACTCATGGGAGCCTCCCATGCCACCTTTTTTTTTTTTCCTTGCGAGTCGCGCGCCGGTAATGCGAGCCAACGTCGCCTGCAGGGGGGCTCCCTGCGCCCGAGAAAACGGCCCACAAATTTGTAGACCGATGGGTCTATCAACATGAACATTTTATCCACGTTTGCAAATTCTGCACTTTGCCAATTTGTGAAGACGAGCGCGGATACCGCACAGAACGGACGAAGGCACAAACGCACAGCCTGGTCACGCACAGCCTGGCGTAGGCGAACTGCTAAACCTAATTACGACATGCATGGACGGCCGAACAAAACATCATGCAGCCGGCGAGGGCCGATCTACAGTGGACGGCAGCAACTTTGCTACCACGCCCAGGTCTAGTCGAATTGCGCTGAACTGACGAGTACACTCAGGAAGACCTAGGCTCGAATCAGAGCAGAAAGGTAGCGCTCGCCAGCTTATCTCTCGCGCAAATCTGTCCAGCGCGGAAGCGGCATCGATGGCACTGAGCTTAAGAAAACAAGATGCATCAATTACAGGTCCACTGGCCAGCCGGCTTTGGGCACCAAGGACGGGGGTGCACAGCATCCGTCCCAGACATGCGACGTCTTGATCACAGCAAAACGACGCCTGGCAACCCCATGATGATTACTGGCGCGGCGCGAGCATGTCTGGGGCCTGCCACCCATGCAGGTCCGCGGCAAGGAGCAGAGATCGCCGCCGGCCTGGCTCGCGAGGACAATGGCGGGCACCCGCTTCGGTGCCCAGGGGTCGCGTGCACGCGCCTGCGTCGGGCTCCCGCCGCGATTGCGTGGGCTCTCCTCCTCCACCACCACCTCCCCTATTCCACCTGTAGAGTGACAGGCCCGACTTAAAACTACGAGAACGGCGCACATGCATCGTACCATGTCTGGACTCCCTACAGGCCCCGCCCCCGCGCGGTACGGTGCGAATCTTTGTTGTTTTGGGGACTGGAAAACTATGCACCGTTCCGTTCCTTGGTCGAGGTTCGACGACACCTCGAGGAGCGCCAACGCGGTACGGTGCACACATGTCGTCCGCGGCAACGTGAGGTCGGCCGGCTCACTTGATAGCGTTTTTGTAGCATCGCTTCCAGGACTCGAGGTCCTTGAAGGGGTGGAACGCCGCCCTGTTCGAATCGTCGCACTCGCCCGCGCCCTTCTGGCCAGGACCCACGCACACGTCGTCGCCAACCAGGCCGAAGTCCTCGACGCTGCCAACGCCGACGTGGTCCATGCAGCGGGTCATGAAGAAATCCTCCCCCCACTCCTGCCACGGCAAAGACTTCCTACACTTCTCGCTGTGCTTCGAATACTGCCGCATGGCTGCCCGAGAGAAGACCTCCACCGAGCCGTACATCATGGGGTACACGGCCAAATCTGGCCAAGCGTTGCAATTCATTACGAAGAGGCCGCCGTGGCTCCCGTGACTATTATCTGTATGCGGCTCCAACCGCCACCGCAACCTGTCGGGCAAGAAGACGGCATCGGGGTCTGCTTTCACCGTCCAGTCGTGATCCCAGATGGAGCCTTCCGCGAAGATCATTTCCCATGCCTTCATGAAGATCCCTGCGTTCCCTGCGGTGCCGTCCTTGATCACCTCGACCTCCATCTTGGGAGTCTTGAGAGTCTCCCTGCCAGCGATGGTGGTCACGTTGTCAGCGAAAATTCTAAAGCTGTCGCACGCAAAAATACCAGTGCGCTCCTTCCACTGATACTCCACCAACGCAGGCTCGTAGGAGTCTATCCTGAGGAACGTGACGCAGAACAGCGAAGGATAGCCCACCAGCGCAAGACCCCAGCTCCGGGTGCCGAGTTTCTTGCAACTCCAGGTGCTGTTCGCATGGCACTTGTCCGCGCACGTCGCGTGAGCGCTGTCCTTCTCGTAACACTGCATCCCCCTGCCAACGCAGCACGAGGTGCCGCTGCAATCTGCGCCGTCCTGGGAGCACGAGTCCTTGACCCACCCACCGACCTTCCCGCCGAGGGGCCCGCTGGGCAGCTCGGTCGGGGGCGGCGGGGTCCGGTAGCCCAGCTCCGTGCACGGGCCGCCGCCCTCCGGGCAGCTCGCCAGGCAACGGGCCGACTTGCCGCCCACCTCGTAGCACTGGAGGCCGCTGGTGGCGCAGCACCTGCTCTCGCGGCAGTCGTCCGCGTCCCCAGAGCAGTTCGCCTTCGTCCAGTTGCCGACGGTGGAGAGCGCCGCGGCACCGACCTGGTGGCAACTCCACGGGTCGCCGTTGTCGAGGTCGAAGTACTGGGGGCCGGGGGCGCACTGCGGCATGCACCTCGCAAACGTGTCGTTCTTGGTGAAGCAGGCGAAGCCGGGGTCCTTGCAGCACTTCGAGTCCATGCAGTTGTCGTGGACGTCGTGGCACTCCTCCGGCTCGATCGGCCTGCCCCCGGAGCGCTCGCCGATCTCCCTGCAGCTCCAGACCTCGGGGTCCACGTCGGCAGGGTCGGGCGCGCCAGGGATGCACGCGACCAGGCACATCGCCCACCACTTGTTCTTCTCGTAGCACTGCAGCCCGGGGTCGGAGCAGCACTCGGTGGACCTGCAGTCCTCGTGGCTCGCGGAGCACTTCGCGCTGGCCGGTGGCTTCCTGTGCCGGTGCGTGGAGTTGAGGCCCTCGGCGCTGACCTCCGTCGCTGTGTGACCGGAGGCTTCCGCCTCGACAGAGCCGTGCACCTTTTTCAGCTTGGCCTCTTCCTCGCGCAGGGCTCCCTGGCTCTCCGACTCGGTGCCCACGATCTCCTGGTCCAGGACCTCCTCCACCTTGAGGAAAGCCTCCTCGGGCATGGAGCACGGGTCTTCTTCGCCCTCGATCTCTGCAATCTCCTCCTCGAGGAGCTCTTCGAACTCCTCCTTCCCAATCTCTACGCTCTCCGCCTCGGCCTGGAGCCTGCGGAGCCTCGCGGCCTGCAGCCGGCGGGCACTCTCCCTGCGGGTCTTGCAGGGGTCCTCCTCCACGGAGAGGTCCATGTCGTCGTCGATCTCGGCCACCTCCCCCTGGAGCTTCTTCGCGAGCTTGATCAGCTCCTTGGTCGACATCTTCTCCAGCCGCTCCGCGGTCACAATCTCCAGCGGATCCCGATCCTCGACCAGGCCGGTGGCTCCCGCAGCGGCTGGCGCCACCTCGGCACCCCGGGTTCTCTGCGCCTGCGCCGAGTGGTACGCGGCGAGGGCGGCCGCGACCAGCAGCAGGGCGGCCAGGGGCGCGGAGCCCCGCCGCCTCCAGTGCCACGCGTCCAGGGCGCGCTGGGCCCCCGGGGTGAGCAGCTGGTCGCCCTCGTGGTCCGGCTCTGCGCCGCAACGGGCCGCCCCGTCCCCCGGCATGCCGCTGCTCGTGCAACAGGGCTGCGCTCTGGCCCTCGCTGGCGCGGCGGGGGGGCCGTCTGCCTCGCCGCGCGGGCGCGCCTAGCCGGCGCTCCGCCGCGCGAGCCGGGGCGTCTTGAGCCAAAATGGCTACGGAGGAGCCTCCCATGCCACCTTGTCGGCTCTTGCGAATCGATGCTAGTCGACGCTGAATCGACGCTGACCGACGCTCATCGACGCTACTTCGACGCTACATCGACCCGAACCGACGCTAAATCGGCGCTGTCTCATCGACTCCCAGACGCTGATCGACGCTGGTGAAAGACAGAATTACGAGGGTACACGAGGCTCCCATGATCTGTGACCGAATGGACGTCCTCCTATCTAGAGGCCTCCTAGATGGGGTCGGAGTAGATGGGGTCGGAGGGTCGCGCCGAATCGGCGACGCATCGGCGATGCATCGGCGATGCATCGGGGATGCACCGGCGACGCATCGTCGACGTCGGCGATGCATCGGCGACGTCAACGTGAAACAACTCAGGCCCCACATCGAGCCGCATCGGCGATGCAACAACGATGCGGCGCGATCCTTCGACCCCATCTACTCGGACCCCCTCTAAGAGGCCCAAACTATCGCACCTGAGCGTGGGCATTTCCTGCGGCGGAGCCTTCAGCAGCCCGGCCAGCCGCTCCTCGGCGTCCCGCTGCAGCTCCGCCTCCGCGGCGAGCAGCCGCGCGGCGCGCTCCGGGCGCGCCTCGGCGCCGCAGGCGCTGCAGCGGCCGAGCTGCGCGCGGGGCCCGGCGCCGCGGGCGTGGGCGACCCCCGGGCAGCCGTTCGCCTCGGGGCAGCGTGTCACCGATCCCCGTCTCCTCCTCCTCCTCCTCCTCCTCCTCCTCCTCCTCCTCCGCCTCGCACCTCCTTCTCCTCCTCCTCCTCCTCCTCCTCCTCCTCCTCCTCCTCCTCCTCCTCCTCCTCCTCCCCCTCCTCCTCCTCCTCCTCCTCCCCCTCCAAGCGCCAGCTCCAGGCTGGTGCCACGTGCGCCAGCGAGCCAGCGCCACCCGGCGGCCTCCCTCGGAGCCACGTCCCCGCTCTCGCCGCTCGCCCTGGCGTCCGTTCCCCGTGCACTCTGGTTCGACGTCGTGCGCTCCTGTTGTCGCAGGGTGATATCTGAAGGGGCCCCGGGACACACAGATAAATACACACAATTAGAGTGATTCCCCATATTTTCCAATATGTTCTGCATTTCTTTCGCGTGCTCCACGATGGCCCTCGCCGAGAGAAATGTGCACACGCCCGAGCGATGCCAAGCACTGCGGCAGGTTCGTGCCGTGTGCCTCCCGCGTGGGGTCCGAGCAGATCGGGTCAGAGGCTCTCGCCGCACTGCTGATCTGGGTTGCCTAACTTCGCGCCTCGTTTCACCGATCCCCGTCCCCGCAATCCAGCTCACCTACTCCTGATTTCGCAATAAAAGGGAGGGGGTCTGGACCCTCCAAGACAAGCCATTTCAGACCTCCCCCGTGGGAGAATCCTCCAAAACATCGTCCCCAGACCCCCCAGGCCCTCCAAGATAGCCTGGAAGAGACCCCCCCCGAAATGAGACCCCCCTCCCTTTATTACGAAATCGTAACTTCGCGCATCGCGCCCCGCCATGCGCGCTTCCCTTCGCGCCATCGCGCCCTTGCGCCGCCCCCCTACAGGGCAGCCGCTCTGGCCCAGGCCGCGATGCGCGACTCTCGATTCTCTTCGCGCCCCTTAGGGTGGCCTGGTCTGACCGTCCCCGTCCCCACCGTACAGACCTCCCAGGTGGGGTCTGAGTAGATGGGGTCGGAGGATCGCGCCTGTTCGCGCCACATCGCCGATGCATCGTCGACGTCGGCGATGGATCGGCGACGTCGACGTGGAGGAAAGTGAGCTCCACATCGAGCCGCATCGCCGATGCATCAGCGATGCGGCACGATCATTCGACCTCGTCTATTCGGAGCCCATTCGGGAGGCCTGCGCTCTGGCATCGCCTTGGCCAAACTGGCCGACTCGGCCCCCCAGGTGGGGATATGCGCCTGCTCCCTTCGGGCTTCTTCGCGGGAGCCCCATCCCTGGGGGGGACTGTCGCAGAAGGACTAGCAGCTGCGTGCTGAAGCACCAACTTTGGAAGGTCCGAACGGATGGACACGCGCTGGACACCCCCCCCCATCCTCGGCGCTGAGCGCGCCAAGGGCGGCGCCAAGGGCGCCGCCAGGCTGGTCCGGCGCCGATCCAAGAACTCC